AAAAACAAAAAAAAACCATGCTGTGTAAGGAAAACCAAACTCCCATATTGGCCATGTCCAAAAATATATCCCTTATGTTGCACACTGAATCCATCAACTCTCCGTCGAGAGGTAAGTGGTAGGTTTCATAACTGGTCCTCTGCAGTTGTGGTTGGTCATTGCATTGATCAGAGTTCTTAAGTCTCTAAGTTGTTTGTCTCTATGATGTTATTATTGTACAAATTGTTTTCCTAGTTCTACTCCCTTCATTTTGCATCAATTTATACAAGTCTTCCCAAATTTCCCTGAAATCGTCCCTTTTGTCATTTCTTATGGCACAATAGTACTTCATCATATTCATATGCCAAATTTCAGGTTTGGGTTTTTGTTTGTTTGTTTTACTATTTCAAAAAGCAAAAGGGCTACTATAAGTATTTTTGTACACATAGGTCCTTTTTCTTTATTTTTAATCTGTGAATAGGCCTACTAAATGTATCATTGGATCAAAGAGTATTTATAATTTAATAACTGTTAGAGCATAGTTCCAAATTATTTTCCAATATGGCTGGACCAATTTACAGTTCTACCAACAGTGTATCAATATGCCTATTTTCCCACAGACTTTCCAACATTTTCCATTTTCCATTTTTGGTCAACTTGCCATTGTAGTTCATTGTTTAGTGGAATGTCATGGTTGAACCTGTACTTTAGGAACATCACTTTGGCAGCTATGTGGAGGATGGGTTGGAGAGGGGAGCGATTTGAGGCAGACAGATTCATTAGAAAATTGTTAAAATTGCCCATGCAGGAATGATGAGGTAGATGGGTAGAGAAGGGGACAGATGCAAGAAAGGTTGTGGAAATATAAATGCCAAGATTTGGCCATCAATTAGATACTCAGGGTGAGAGGGAGCGATGAATCAAGGACAATGAAATGGTTGTGAACCCAGGTAACTGAAAAGACGGTGGTGTCCTTGACAAATAGGGAAGTTCAGAAGCAGGGTGTGTTTTGGGGAAAAGATAATGAGTTCTGACTTTTATGTTATGAGTTTGATATGCCAATGAGACTTCCAATTTGAAATGTTCCATCGGTCCTTGACTGGACATGTAGCGCTAGACCGGAGCTAAGCAGAGAAAATAGGGCTGGATATATAGACTTCAGAGATATCTGCATAGAGATGACAACTAAACCTATGAGATCCAATGAAATCATCAAGTGAGAGTGTGGAGAGAAAAGAAAAGGTTAGAAGGTATGAAACAGAAGATTAGCAAGCAAAAGGGACTGAGAAGGAATCCAACAGGTAGGAGGAGAACCAAGAGAAAGCAGTGCCATGACAATCCAAAAAGGAGAGGATCTGGGAGGAGGGAAGTCAACTACAAAGAAGTTTTAAAATGTTGGGGATATCTTTATTACCCTGGTATTAATAGAGAGGACTAATGTTCTTCTTATAAGCAAATCATGTTGTATCAAACTTTCATAGAATCATAAATTTAGAACTGGAAGGGACTGTAGAAATTATCCACTGTAATTCAACTTCCTCATTTTGCAGACGAGGAAACTGAGACCCAGAGAGATTGCTCAACATCATACATGGTGAAAGTGGGGTTTGATCTTGGCTCTTCTGTCTCCTAATCCTTTTCTCATGACTCCGAGAGACATATAAATCTAGAACATAATGAGCTGTGTTTTAACAGGACTCTGCCACCTTCACATATTTAATCTATCCCACATAAAAGAGAACTAGTATAGCTACTATAGGAACAGGATTTTCCCAGGGAGTTGCAAGTTCGCTTCCTAGAAAACGATTTTGGAAGTTTGACGTCATGGGTATTTGGTTTACAATGAAAATCACTGTGCAGAATGTTCTCTGTTTAAAATCATGCCATAGAACTCGACAGTGCCAAGGCATTCATACAAATGCCAAGTGAAATGTCATCCTTTCTTCCTCTCTCCTCCTCCCATTCCCTTTTTCTTTGCCATAGATGCTGCTCACATATCCCAAAAGTGGTTGATTGCATTGCAAAACTATGCCTGCTTTCTGGGCAGCATTACTAGAGTCCCCATGCTGAAGGGGAAGCTAGATAAATGGGAAAAGGATTTTAAGGATAATACTTACAGAAATCTAGTGTGGAGGCTCTAACATGGGCTCTGGAGCATTGGAACAAATTCATAGGCTCAAAGGATCATGTGTTAAGTGCTTGGAAGGGACCTCTACTACAAGTCCTTCATTTTATAAATAAGGAAACTGAGGCCCTCTTGGACTGATGTTCAGCAGTTGGAGCTCTTGTACTTGTGATTTGGTAGTCATCTGTCCTATCACAGGGGCTGATGCAATCAAGTGAAAGCCCTGGAGAGCTACCACTGCAATCAGCTGGATCAAATTTCAAGGGAAGTATAGTGCTTAATTGTTTTGTGTATGTGTGAGTGTGTGTGGTTTTGTTTCTTTTTTTTTTTAACAGGAAGAAGTAGGTTAGAACAGAGAACTGGAGAGGGTGCTTGTCTTAAGGGAGATTCTACGGTGCTGTTACATTGTGTCACTCAAATTTGTCACTATGACTTTTTCAACATGTGAAGAAAAGAAAGATCAGTTGTGACCTCTGCCCTCAAATCCTTTTTTCCCCCTAATTTTGATTTTTACAGGAAATGTCCCAAACTAAAGGTTCTTAACTTTTTGTGTCATAGAGACCTTTGGCAGTCTGGTAAAGCCTTTGGACCCTTTCTCATAATAATGTTTAAAATGCACAAAATAAAATACGTAGAATTACAAAGAAAACCAATAATACTGAAATACAATCATCAAGATTATTTTTTTTAATTCATTTATTTATTTATTTTTTTTGTGAGGCAATTGGGGTTAAGTGACTTGCCCAAGGTCACACAGCTAGTACGTATGAAGTGTTTGGTCTGAAGCCGAATTTGAACTCAGGTCTTCCTGACTTCAGGGCCGGTGCTCTATCCACTGTGCCACCTAACTGCCCCCATCAAGATTATTTTTAAGCAAATTAATTGACTCTAGGTTAAAAACTTCTGCTCTAAACCAACTACTAGGCTGGTACTTCATTATGTAAATGTCAAGCCAGATTAGACATATTTAACATAAAAAAAAAAGAAACTGTGGCCACCAAAAGTGACTGCCTATCTATAATTTAATTACAACATATCATAGTGATAGAGGGCCAAGTAGGTTCAAATTCTGTCTCTGACACCAACTAACTTTATTACCATGGATGGGCACGTCATTTAACCCCAAAGTCCCTCTGCGACTTTAGATTACAGAGGGGTTGTTGGTCTGAATTAGTGTGGGGAGTTTCCATACTGAAATTATAGGATTAGAGACCCAAAGCTAGGAGGGACCCCAGTAGCCATCTAATCCAACTCCGTTATTTTGCAGTTGAGAAAAGTGAGGTTCCTAGGATTAGGTAGGTAGAATTTGAACATAGGACTTTTGACTCCAAAGCCACTTTTTTTGTTTGTTTTTCCATTGTACCACATTGTCTCCCAGTTCCTAGAACTAATGAAATCACAGATCTGGACCACCACCAATCCCCTCCCCAAATCTAATTGATTGTAATATGCCCTTCATTGAACAATGTTGTAATTGAAGCTTACCCAGCGTGCCCCTCCACAACAACCTAGAAAATGTAACAGACAGAATCTTGATCAGGAAAGCCAAGAAAAAGTCAGAAGGAGTCGTTTTTTTTTTCGGCCCAGGGCAACTTCAGAAGATAGAGAGGTCTCTGGACACTGGCATGGGGACTGACCAGGACAGCAGTGCAGTGGCAGGGAGCATTCTGGCACCTGAGAATCATAATGGGGCAACTAAGCACCATGGTAGAAATCAGTGGGAGCAGGAATGGGTGATAGCTGGGAGCTCTGTCACCCATTATCACAATTCAAGGTCACAATTCAAGTGTGGAAAAGAGCATTTGTGAGAACGGCCCAAGCTATGCAAGGAGAAAGCAAAAAGTTTCAAAAAGTAATCTGTGTGACTGAGTTCACTGACCATCAAGCTGCAAAGGCTTAGAGAACTGGCCTAGTAACAACTTATTGCTGGAAAACCAACCTAGCTGAGCTCAAAGAAACTCATCACCCTTTAGTGGTGAAAATTGGTCAATAAGCGATCTTTCCAACCTCCCTGAAAATCATTTAATTGTCTATGAAAGCTGCAATATGTGTCTATAGTAGGAGCACCTACACCATAAAATCATAGACATTTTGAAGTATTGAAGCAGTACTAATGATTACTCTGGGTGCTTGGGATGATGATAACTAATGGTGGAGATAATATGGAGCTGCCCTAATAACTGGTTTTTCTTTTGACCAGCCAAACAGAATGATTCTTAGACTGAAAAGGATAGAATTAAAAATGGACGAGAGTTGGTCCCCAAAATAAAGAGATAAGAAGAGCACCTAACTGCCCTTATGAACTCATGTCACTAGGCCCAGATGAATTAATTCCTTGGGTGCTGGAAGAACTGGCATCAGTGAGTCTCTGTTGGTTATCTCTTAAAGACTGTAAAGAAGAGAAGTCTAGAGTAGAGAAAACATGGTGATTTTTTTTTAAAATGGGAGGGGAGAAGAAAATAGAATCTGCAAACTATATGCCAGTGAATTTGACATCAATTTCTGGTAAAATTCTGGAATATATTAAAAGACTAGTTAGTGAACATCTAGAAATGGAAGCAGTGATTAAAAAAAAACAGTATGGATTCATCAAAAACAGGGAATGCTAATCTAGGCATTTTTTTTTTTGGTGAGGGCAATTGGGGTAAAGTGACTTGCCCAGAGTCACACAGCTAGTAAGTGTTATATGATGTCTGAGGCGGGATTTGAACTCAGGTCCTCCTGACTGCATGGCTGGTGCTCTATCTACTGTGCCACCTAGCTGCCCCAAGGCATTTCTTTTTTAATAGGATTTCTAGATAAGGGGAATATTGTAGATATAGTTTACTCTTTTTTTATTATTTCATGAAGAATCTTATGTTATTCTTTTGCAAATGATACATTTAATTAGGTAGATTTGAAACTTGTTAAATGGTCCAGACCAAAGAGTAATAACCAATGAAGTCAACTTGTAAGCAGATACCTAGTAGAGTATCCCAGGGATCCTCACTTGGTTCTATGCTGGTTTTTTTTCTCGATGATTTGGATAAAGCCATTTTTCAAATGTGCAGATGTCACAAATCTGTAAAGACAGACAACAACAGAGAAAAATAAAACAACTACCCAAAATAATAGATAGGCTAGTATATTAAACTGAATCAATTAAGATAAAATCTAATAGGGATAAATATAGATTTTTACCCTTAGAGTCAAGAAAATAATTTCACAAGGAGAAGATATTTATCTAGGGAGGGGAGAGTTCTTGGGGGGAAAAAGTGGATTGCAAGCTTAATGTGAGTCAACAGGGTGATATGACAACCAGGAAAGCTAAGGCAATCTTAGGCTTCATTAAGAGAATTATAATGTCTAGAACTAGGGAGGTGATAGTTGTTCTGGACCCTACCGTGGACAGACTACATTTGGACTACCAAGTTTAGTTTTTGATGCTACACTTTAAGAAAGACATTGATAAGCTAGATCCTACCCAGAGGAAGGCAAATCAAAATGGTGAAGGGCCTCAAGTTCATGCCATATGAAGACCGGTTGGAAGGGGCTGTTGTGCCTGCTGAAGAGCAGACTTAGCAACAACATTCTATTTGAAGGGTTGTCACATGGAAGAGGCATTAGTCTTGTTTTGCTTGGCCCTTGAGAAGAGAAGGGGGTGGGGGTAATAGGTAGAAGTTGCAGAGGCAAATTTAGGCTCGACTTGAGGGAATGTTTGCTTAACAATCAGAGTTATCTAAAAATGAATTTGACTTCCTTCAGATGCAGTGAATTCCCCTTCACTAGAACTCTGCTAGCAGAAGCTGGATGACCACTTATCAAATACAGTGTAGAGATATGGGCTAGATCAGATGACCTTAGAGGTCCCTTCCAATTCTGAAATTCCATTTTTCTATATAGTACTATATATCTCACAGGTAAGTTTAGATAGAGATCTCATTTGAGACTGAATGATCACTAGTCAGGTATATTGTAGAAGGGGATTCCTGTTTAAGGACAAGTTGAACTGAGAGAACAGCATATGGGAAGTGAACCAATTCTAGAGTTGGAGGACCTTTCTTTCAAATCTGGCACCTGACCTGTGTGACCTTGGCCAAGTCATTTAATCTTCCTTAACCTTAGTTTCTTCACTTACAAAATAAGGAAGATGGACTAAATGACCCCTGAGATCCCTTTTAGCTCTAGGTTTATGATCCTATGGACCTCTTAGGTCCCTTCCAACTTTTGAGATTCTATGAATCTCAAAACAACCTTATGAGATAGCTAGTGCAAAAACTACGACCTTCATAACTAACTCAGAAAGATTAAACAGCTTTCCCAAAGTCACAGTTCATAAGTGGCATTGCCAGGGCTCAAACCCAAGTAACCTGAATTCAGATCCATGGTTCTTTCTACTACATAACACTCTCTACCAGTGACTCAATAGTAGACAGTACAGTATGGGTTCCCAACATTGCTTTAAAGAAAATAATTAATTTCCTAAGATCATCTAAGGCAAGGAAGAAGGGGAGATGGCTCAGGGCTGGGGGCATAGGGTTTGGAGTGTTCACAAGAAAGCACACAAACAGTGGGATATGTGTTAATATTGTTAAAAGCCTCCTTCAGAACAGTGGAGAGGATACACTCATCTCTGTTAGAAATCTAAGTAAACCACAGAGAAGGAAGCATTATAGAGAGTGGGACATGGTCATGGCAACCAGCTTGGAGATCTACCAGGTAAATCCTAGTCTACCAGGCTCTGCCATGGCAACCACCTTTGAAATCTATCACAATAAATCCTAATCTACTGGTTGGAGACCTGGAGAATTGAATTAGAAAAAGCTAAAAAGTATTTTTAGGAAACTAACAGAATGTGGCACCAAAGTAGCCTTGAATTCCAGGCCAAACTAAAAGCCTATAGAGGAATGTTGCTTTTTAGCTTCCCATGTATCCCCAAAACAGGAATTCACCATACCAGGTTCTCTCATAGCCGACTACAAATCCTACTAAACATGAAAGGGTAAATTAAGATCACCAAGCCAACAAATCCACAAGCATTTATTAAGCATTGACAATGTGACAGATACTGTGTTGTTGTAAGAAAAAGTCTAGTGGTCTTGAGACCACCATGACAGTCTCCCCTTAAGAGAGACTGTAGTTCATAGAATTCTATGCATGGAAACTGGTGCTATAAAATTAGACAATGAAAAAATATTGACAGTAACATTTTAAAGTCAATACAAGTATATGTCTAAAAATAACATCTTGCCAACTATCAGTTTATCTTTCCTTCTCATACCTGTGTATCTCAAAAATCTACTATGTACCCTAAACCTTGACATGCAAATTGCCCAGCTTCAGGCAGCCACCAAGGTCAAGGTTTAAGCATTCCACTCTCAGAGGGGTACTGTGTAGTGTATCTCCCTTTCCTGGGAGCACATCTCCCCTTCCTGGAAACATGCTGCTCCCATGGGGCCCAAGTCTTCGCACCTGAATGGACCCATACTCCTGTGCTTCCCCATACAATGTCATCTTTTCCTGAGTTTTATTCTGTGTTAATATGTATATGTCTGACTTGTATATCGGGTCCCCTTCTCCCCTTCTTCCCTTCTCCCTCCTCTCCTATGCTTCTCTATTATTTATCAATAAAACTCGAAAATTGAACTGGCTCCCATTGTTATGACATATTATTCAAAGCAATTGAACTCATTAGGAGGGTTGTTTTCCTTGACATCTTTGGCTGCCTTTTCCTTAGGACAAAAGCCTGATCCCCACACAGGGACTCTTCCTTCTGAAAATCATACCTTCAGTGGGGGCTTAAGCACTCAGAGCCCAGGAAAGCAAGAGTCAAAAAGGGAATTTCCATCCTCCCAGGAGGGACTTCTTTTTGCCATAGAACTATCACAAGACGTGCTAAGTGCTGAGGACACAAATAGAAGCAAAAAGAAAGGCAGTTCTTGCCCTCAAGAAGCTTACATTCTAATGGAAGAAGAAAATATGTAAAAGAGAGCTGAAAAGTGAAGCAAGGGAGAGGTACTCATGTTGGAGCATGGTGCCAAAAAATGAAGGATGGCTGATTTTGGCTTTTCCTCAAAATGGAGGTTCTGAGAGGAATTCACTCATGGGATAAGGGGTCCACAGGGAGAGAGGGAGAAGGCAGCTGATGCATGATGGGAAAGTCCAAAGAGTAAAATATGGATAGTCTGGGCACTTCCCAATATGCCAATACAATATCAATAATTGAATGGTCTCATGTGTGAAATGGTCACACAGAAACATCAGAACAAGGAGTTCAAACAGTTATAACCAAAGGCCTGAAACTGTGGGAACAGAGATTGTCAGGCAATCAATTCTGTAGTACTCCTTGTTTCTCAACTTCCTATTTCAATATAGAATATAAAATATAAGATCCTTGAGACAGGGACTGGGTTTTTATTTTGTTTTGTTTTGTTTGTTTGTTTTTGTAATTTTGTCTTCATTTAACCTAGCACAGTATTTTGCACAGAGCAAGCACTAAATGTTTGCTGAATTGAATTGAATTGGATCAATACTATTTTCCTGGTTGTAAACCTCAATTCCAACAACCAATATCCCTTTCATATCAGTTTCTGGGATCTGGGAGGTCTGCAAAAACCTTATCACCCATCTGGCCAGTGTTGTTTTGTTTTGTTTTCATTACTTCTCATTCTCAACCAGACCTTGACTCTTTAGTCCCATGGAGAGATTAGCTCCACAGGTGGGTAAATTAGGACTTTTCATTATATCAATGAGAATAAAGGCTCCCTGAGTTTTAGGAAATCAAAAATGAGGAGACTTGAACAGTTTTTCCTCTCCATTTCAGTTCCCTCATTTGGCGGTAAATACCACTCCAAATGAGTGATTATATGATAACTCTGTATGCTAGAGAGGAGAAAAAGAAACCCACGGACAAAACTTACATATGCAAAAGAGATTTATTAAGGATAGCTTTTATAACTGGATAGAGATAGAAGCGGGATTCTATGGGCCTGCAAATTTGTGTCCAAATTGCACGGGTGAGAGAGTAGTTCCAAAAACAGCTACCTGGTTTTCCCTATTTGCATAAGAAAATTCCTATATGAAATGTGTGTTAGGAACATTCCTTCCTTTTTTGGTTCCTAGCTGGTGTTTGGGGAGGATCATGGTATTATCTCTATTTCTAACTCCATTCTTTGGGAATCCTTAAGCATATTAACTTGTTAATAATAATAATAACTAGCATTTACATAGTACCTACTATGTGTCAGGCACTGTGCTAAGCACTTTTTAAATATTATCTCACTTGATCCTCACAGCAACAGTGGGATATAGGTGCTATTATTATCCCCATTTTACAGTTGAGGAAATTGAGGCAAACAAAAGTAACTGCCTGAGGCCAAATTTTGACTCAGGTCTTCCTGACTCTGAGCAGCTAAGTGGCACGATGGATAGAGCACCAGGATTGGAGTCAGGAAGACTCATCTTCCAGAGTTCAAATCCGGCCTCAGATACTTACTAGCTATGTGACCAAAATTAGCACATACATTGCAAGTCGCTTAACTCTGGTTCAGTTTCCTCATCTGTAAAATGAGCTGGAGAAGGAAATGGTGAACCTCTTTAATATCTCTGCCAAGAAAACCCCAAATAGAGTCACAAAGAGTAGGACACAATTGGAACAACTCAACAACAACAACAAAACAACTTCCTCACTTCGTGTCAAGCGCTCTACAAACTGCCCCACCTGGCTTCCTTTGATTTGAGGAGAGCAAGATTATGAGAGTGGAATGTTTCCTATTTTATACAAGATTAACGAATAATTAACTGTCATTCTCTCCTTTTGGTAGGCATACAAGCTTGTTGACTAGATTAGTTTTGATTGGGAAACCTACACTAGCTTCATGGCACTCCCTTTCACTGTGACCACTGCAGAAAAATGTGTATCCAGCTCTGACTTCGGTAAGTAGGCCTTCATTTGCCAGCCTTGTTTCACTCAGGGTTGCTATTTGGATGTGATACCTGCTGAATTCTCTCTCAACAAGGTTTTCTCTGTGATGTCAGGTACCACGGTGTTGACTGAATTCAGATAAATACTTTATCTATAAG